GCTATGGGTACATAATGGTACACATAATGCTTCACATAATGGCCACATGGCCACCAACAATTGGGGGGTGCTTGGGCCCACACAGGCACCTTCCAATTGTTGGTGGCCATGTGGCCTTAAATATTATGGGTACCATTATGTACCCATAGCAAAACTCTTTTACTGTAGTGAAGATTCTTAATTTTTTGCTTAGAGTGTGTTTGGTAGGGATTTTTGAAAGAAAAATTGATTTTTAAATAGTGATATGATGGGAAATATGTAGTTGAAAAAGAAGAAAAATTATTGATTTCATGAAAAATATTATTTTATTGAAGAATGTGTGGTTGAAAATGAGAATTGATTTACTGTAGAAAATGAGAATCGGTACCAAACAGGCTCTAGTGCTTGTTTGGTAGAGATTTTTGGGAGAAGAATGATTTTTGAATAGTGATATGATGGGAAATGTATAGTTGAAAAAGAAGAAAAAATTATTGATGTGATAGAAATATTATTTTATTGAATAATGTGTGGTTGAAAATGAGAATTGATTTACTGTAAAATTTGAGAATCAAAACCAAACAGGCCCTTATATTTTTTGGGTGTGTTTGATGAATATTATTTTGGAAGAATGTATTTTGGAATAGTAGATTGATGGAGAATGTGTGGTTGAAAAAGAAGGAAAAGTTATTGATGTGATGGAAAATATTATTTTATTGAAGAATGTGTGGTTGAAAATGAATAATTATTTTGGAAGAATGTATTTTGGAATAATAGATTGATGGAGAATATATGGTTGAAAAAGAAGGAAAAGTTATTGATGTGATGAAAAATATTATTTTATTGAAGAATGTGTAATTGAAAATGAGTAGAAGAATGAGAATGAAAATTTTAATGTGGGTCAAACAGGGGCTTAGTTATTTTTCATGTCATTCTTATTTTCAAACTTTCTATTAACTAGTATATTTTATATTTGATAATATTTTTATGTTCGAAAGTCCACTAAAATTGTGTAAAAAAATTTTATTTTTCTATCATATTTTTAAAAAATAAATAAATAAAATGTGCGAAAAATAATTTTTCCTCATTTCAAAGCATAAAAATAAAATAATTTAATATAAATCATTATCGAGAACAAAATGTAATAATTAATGGAAAGTATAAGAAATCAACGAAAATAATTAAGAAAGCAATTGTTACAATGAGAAAAACTGAACAGCTTAACTGCAATTAAAATGTAATGTATCAAATAAAAATTGTGATGTAAAAGGAAGTTCTGTTTGAGCTTTCAAAAATAAATTTTTCTAAAATTTATTTTCAACTACACATTTTTCTATAAAAAATGTTATGCTTAAATTCAAAAAAAAAATCTTATTTTTTAACCAAACATTTTTCAAAAAATCACCATTTCAAAAAACATTTTTTCTAATAAAAAAATCAATTTAATGAAGCCCCAACAAGGGACGATATCGACCTAAAATGTCCTATCTTTTTTATTTCGTAATGGGATAATTGCAGCAGTGATACCAAACCCTTTATTTAATTGCAGACTTTGCTCAAACCTTTAACTTGTATCACCCACATTACCAAACATTTCATTTGTATCACCCATGGTACCAAACTTTTTCAAAATGTCGTAACTGAAGTCCAAATAGATGGTTTATGTTAGTTTGACCTTTAATTGAACAAATAATTGATTTTGACAACAATTTAATTTTAAAATGTTAAAATGGTAACTTTATATTTTTTATAATAAAATAACTAAATTCCAATAATTAAAACTAAAACAAAAAAATTAATTTCATCTTCTCCGTTCACCCCACACATACCCACCCCAAAACCATCACCTCCACTGCCATCTCCTCCACCACCACCACCACAACTATTTTCTCCATTGTAATCAATAACTACATATCTATTCATCACTAACCAAGCGAGGATTTTTACTTTTTGAAATCAATTTTACAAATTAAAGGTAGTTTTCTTCACAAATGGCGACCATGAGTTTGGTTGGTGTTGACTTTACTTTTTTGTATTGTATTATGAGCAATAAATAAAACCCACAAAGATGAAGAAGAAAATGTACAATCCTCCTTGCTTGATTCCCTTTACTGTGAAGAAGAAAAATGCGGAGAATTTGAAGAAGGTGAAAAATGCAACTTTAATAGTGGAAATTTGTCAAATTTTCCTAATTTGTTAACAGAACAAGATTTGTTATGGGAAGATGAAGATCTGAATTCTCTTCTCTGCAAAGAAAATGACGCATTTGTCGATAGAACATGCTCCTCGTTCTGTGTAGGCACGCACAGATATAGTGGAGTGGATTTTGAAAGTCCAAATTTTTTATGGGTTTTCAGCGTTGATTGCTATGCTTGCAGTAAATTATATTTACGGGTTTCTTTGCAACGTCCATTTTCAGAAAGAGAAGTCGTGAATGATCCAACTTGTAGCAGTAGTGGTGATGGTTTTGGGGTGTAGGTGGTTATTTGATTTTTTAGTTTTTAGTTTTAATTATTTGATTCTAGTTATTTTATTATAAAAAATGTGAAGTTGTCATTTTAACATTTTAAAATTAGTCAAAATTATTATCATAGTCAATTATTTGGTCAACTAATGGTCAAACTAAAATAAACCATCCATTTGGATTTCAGCTGCGACATTTTGAAAAAGTTTGATATCGTAGGTAGCACAAATGAAATGTTTGGTACCGTGGGTGACACAAATTAAATGTTTAGGCAATGTCTGCAACTAAATGAAATGTTTGATACCGTTGCTGCAATTATCCTTTTCGTAAATCATCTCAATCTTTTTGATTTGATGCATTTCATCCTTAGATTAAACAAACATTGCAAACATTATCTCTGTCATCCATTTCCTCCATTAAAATTTTGTAAAATGAAGAATTCGACATTTTCTCTAAATAAAAAAGAAAAGAAAAAAATTAAAGATATATTTGAAATCGTAATTTCGAAGTTTTCAGAAAGTGTAGACGAGTTCCAATTAAAAAAGAGAATTGTATTGTGGTCCCAAGTCTTTTAAATTATTTCAACTTTTACTTTAGCGTTTCATTTGTAGGAGCGCTAATCTCAAACTTTTCAATCTCGTACGATAGATGGATCTCTTGATGGAAATCGTCTGGATGATTGTTTGTTGACTAAAAGTTAAGGGTCTGATTACATTTTGATCAATTTTAAAAGAGTAAAATGATTATTTTACTTTTTTTCTATATAAAACGAAATAATAAAGCTCTTATTTGACCCACGTTTTCAAAAATTCATTTTTTTTTCCTCAAATTCATTTTCAATCACATTTTCTAGTGCCCACATTTATTTTATAAAATTTTCAACCAAATATTTCATCAATTTTTATCAAAATATATTAAAATCTGATTTTTAGCTAAACCAAACAATAGCTAAACAAAAATAAATATTCATCTTTTTTCCTACCCCACACACCACCATCCAACCAAACCAAAATTTAACTATTCGACTTCTGTGTCAAATCGTTATATCATACGTAATGTCCATTTTGGAAGAACTCGACTTATATTATCCCTCACGAATTTCTCTCGTGTTTCCTAAGATTCGAACAATGCTCAATTGGTATTATAATTTAATTTAAGTCTCTCATAAGACATAAGTCATGAGCTCGAATCCTAAAAACGCAATAGAAAATCGTGAGGGGATAAAAGAGTCGATACCCTCGAAAAGTGAATAATGCGCCTAATATAATGGCTTGGACAAGAGACTCGGATTGTCATAAAAAACGTGCATTATACAAATACACACATACGCCATCACCACCACCCACTCTCCGTCGCCACCACAAATTATCACCACATAAAATCAAGCAGATCTATTTCCATTTTAGTAGTATTTGCATTTCACCTAAGCGGATCCATGCAAACCATCACTACCTAAAAAAGTTAGCATTTGGAGTGCCTACGCCAAAATCTTCAATCTTGCATAACACATTGGCCTCTAGAGAATCTAATATTGAATTTGTTAGTGGATTTCATTGAAGATTCTTTGTTTTCAGTTGAAACCAAAATAAATAAAGGTGGAAATGATGTCAATTTGGTGGTTTTCCTTATTGCATGCACCATTTACTACGACAATGATGGTGGTAGAGGCAAGTTTTACTTCAATTTCACTAGATTTTCGATTCTTCTTCGCCCTTTTCTCAACATGCAGACTATCAGATGGTTAAACACTCTCTCTTCGTTTACATTGTGCATTGTTGTTGATTTATGTATATGGGTTTGGAAGAAGGAAGATTCATTGAGAAAAGTTGATTTGAGAGCAAATTTTCTTGAATTTAGGTTGTAATAGTTTATGGTGGTGGCTGAGGTGGAGGCAAGCAGCTGTTAAAGTTAAAGCTAATACCACATCATCCTTGCACATGGACGCCACCAGTACTAATGGTGTGCACCTATAGCACATGACTAATTGTTGTAACTATAATTGATTCTCACGAGCTAAGCACATGCTTGTTAGTTATTTTCTTGCTTGTTCACTACTCCAAGACTCTATATATTTTGTACCATATTCATTGTAAAGATCATCAAAATATTATTCAATACATTTGAATTCTCTTCTGCCTATTCATCAGTCTTTTAGCTTAAAGATTTTATTGAAACTTCAACTTGTTATCGGAGATAACAATGGCCAACACCGGTTCAAATGATAATGCTCAATCAACTCAGCCAGCTTCCAGCACATTTATGCCTTCAGTGTTAGGAGGGAACCAGAGGCAATCAATTGGGATAAACCTTACTCAAGTCCCACCGGTAAAGCTGGACAGGAATAACTTCCGCTGTAGAAGAATATGGTAATGCCCATCATTAAGGGTCACAATCTTGAAGGATTCATCACCGGAACCAATACTTGCCCAACTGAATTTCTGGCCACACAAACTACATGCCTTGATGGAGTAACAGTTGAAACGACTCCAAACGTGGAGTTTGGGAGATGGATGTCTACTGATCAACTGTTGATAGGGTGGCTTTACTCCTTAATGACTCTTGAGATCGCCATGAAAGTGATGGGATCTTCAACTTCTTGCAACCTCTGGAATGTTGTCCAAGAGAGTTTTGGAGTCATGAACAAATCGAGAGTCACTTTTCTCATAGTGAACTTCAAAGAACGAGGAAATGTTCAATAACTATTGATCAGTACCTTAATATAATCAAACAGCTTGCTGATAACCTTGAAATTGCAGGAAAGAACATCCCTCATAATGATCTTGTTATACAAATACTAGCTGGACTAAATGAGGATTACATCCCTATAGTGGTTCAAATCAACAGTAGAGAATTCATCTATTAGCACGAACGACAATCAATGTTATGACCTATGAGAGTAGAATTGAACATCTCAATGCGGTGAAAAATAGCTTAGCCTATGTTAACTTAAGTCGAGCATCTGCTAATTTTGTGCACAGATCAAACAATAATAGGGGAGGTAGACTTAACTTTGGTGAAAAAAGTTATTTCAATAGAGGTGGTAGAAGCAACGGTAGATTCAGACCAACTGGAAGCAGAGGACATTGCCAAATCTGTGGTTTAAACAATCATTCAGCTGAGAAATGTCACAATCGATATGATGACAGATACATGGGCACCAAACCATATCAAAACTATTAATACAATGTCTTAGTACATGCTGCTCTTGTTGCTTCACCAAGTACCATTGCAGATCCAGCTTGGTTTGCAGATTCAGGTGCTAGTAATCATGTCGCTTACGAGAAAAACAACTTGGTTGAAGCACATGAGTATGGTGGTAAGGAAAGACTTATGGTAACAAACTTCATATTTCCCACATTAGCTCAAACAATTTGAAAACACTGAAAGATAAATCTCTGGCCCTTAAGAATGTGTTGCTGGTACCGTCAATTAAAAAGAACCTGCTAAGTTGATCACATTTAACATCTGACAATTGTGTTTTTATGGAATTTCATTCTGATTTCTGTGCTGTGAAAGACAAACAAACAAAGGAGGTGCTGCTGGAATGGAAGCTTAAAGACGGCTTGTATCAGATTGAGCATCCAGTTCAAGCCAAAAGGTCTATTTATCAAAAGTCAAACTATCCAAATAAATTGAGTTCTTTAGTTTTTGTTGTTAAGCCTGAGGTGTCTAAAACTATCACAAAAAATGAGTCTAGATTAAAACAATGGCATATGCGACTTGGACATCCCACTACTCAAGAGATGTCTCAAGTTCTTAAATTTGTAATGAAAAAATTGATAATAATGAAATCAATCAGATGCTTGCCAACTTGGTAAATCACACTTTCTGCCTTTCAAATTGTCTACTTCACGTTCATCTACTCTCCTTGATCTAACTCATTCAGATGTTTTGGGGCATGCACCTATTAATTCAACATCCGGGTATAGATATTACATTCTTTTCATCTACGATTATAGTAGGTTCACATGGATCTATCCCTTGAAAAACAAATCTGAAGCCTTAAACCAGTTTATCCAATTTAAAAACTTAGTTGAAAACAAGATTGACAGAAAAATAAACTCTTCAATCAGATTGGGGGGTGAGTTTAGAGCCTTCACTGATTTTGCTCCAAAGTCTGGCCTAGAAATGCGTTTCTCATGTCTCTATACCTCAGCTCAAAATGGAAGAGCAGAAAGAAAACACAGACACATTACTGAAACTGACTTAACTCTCCTTGCTCAAGCTAGCATGCCTTTGTACTATTGGTGGGAGTCCTTTCACACGGCTACTTATCTCATTAACAGACTTCATATACATGTGCTTAAGATGAAATCACCTTGTTAAGTTCTTAACAATGAGCAAACTGACTATAAGTCCTTCAAAAATTTTGGATGTGCATGTTTTCCTTACCTCAGACCTTATCAACAACATAAATTCAGCTTTCACTCGATAAAGTGTATTTTTCTTGGTTTTAGCAGCTCTCACAAAGGTTTTAAATGTCTTAGTCCTTCAGGTAGAATCTATCTTTCTAAACATGTCATTTTCAATGAAAATGAATTCCCTATCCAAACTAGTTCTCTCAATAAAAGGATTGACTCTCAGAAATATGAAACTATAGTTCAATATCTACCATTTCACTTTCCTTCAAAATATAGCCCAACTTGCTCAACTGATGTAGCTCACCTTGATGCAACTCTAACTGCAACACCTCATAGTTTTGAGTAACCAGAAACAGCTGATGATCTCATGCCTGAAACAAATGAGATTGATAAAATAGAGCCAGACAATGAAGGTATTCAAACTGAAAATCCAGTAGAGGTTGAAAGTATTTAGATGGAAATAGATGAAGAGAATACTGAACTGACAAAACAAGAAAATCAAACTGCAGAGCATCCTATGATTACCATAAGTAAGGTTGATATTTTCAAACCAAAAGTCTACACAACTCAATTCCAAGAGTACAGCATGGACCAAAATCAGCTAGAACCAAACAATGTATCTGAGGCTCTGTCAAATAAAAAACTGGAAAGAG